TTTTGGCGTTTTGATCTACCTATCGAGTCCTTTACCAAGGATCTGGGATAGGCAGATCTGGATATAATATTAATATTAATAATAAAGAATCACGCTATTGAATGAGGACGTTTGCCACTCTCAACTGTCGGCTTTCGGTTTTAAACGCCAGCGTGCAATTTGTTGGCTGGATTGAGGCAGCTCTTTTTCAAAGGTTAAAAAAAAATAAAATAAAAAGCTCCTAAATATTTATTCAGCCCCAAAGGGAGAGTGACCATTCCGGGGGGGGGGAGAGTCCAGGTTCCCCCCCCCCTTTCGAACACTTTTCCGGGGAAAAAGGGCCCAAGCAGCTGTTTAGGTGCGCGCACCCCCTTCTCCGCGCTTTCGTTTGAAACGCTTGGAAAGAGCTTCAAAGCCCCTTTCCTCGCGAATAGGTTTGGGGGATCCGGGGGGGGGAAGCACCCCCTTTCAGCCCCCAAAGGAAACGTCCCGGCCTTCCGTTGGAGGGGAGGGGGGACTCCGCTGCCAAGGCTTGAGGCTGGCAGTTGGAAAAGGCGAATTTGAAAAGCAATTTTAAAAAAACAAACACGCGGGTTGGATTGTTCCCACGTTCCGAGTCGGGGCTGAGGTGATTGGAACAAGTGGGGGGGGCGTACGGGCCTAAGCTCCCGATTCGACTGAAATCTAGCAACTCCGGCACGACCTGTCACCTCTTCCTTCTCCTCCTCCTCCTTCACCCCCGCGTTATTATTTTCTTCTCAATCGGGCACCAGACACGTGCAGGTAAAAAGGAAAGCCGGGGTTGAAATTCTAGTTTTTCTTTCTTATGGTTTCCCCGATGGAAACTAAGCCGAAATCCCGCGAGAAAAGTTCGCCCTTGGCTAAAGCTCTTTCGTCCTCAACCCCCTTAGAAAAACAGCTAATCCAGTTTCATTTTTCCTCAACCCGTGACTGGACTCTTTTAGCATCTTATTGATTTACCTCTGTTTTTCCTTTCCTTTCCTTTCCTTTCCTTTTCCTTCCTTCCTTCCTCATTCCCATCTCCCTTCCTCTCCTTCCTCCCTTTTCATTCCCATCTGCCTCCCCCTTCCTTCCTTCCTTCCTTCCTTCCTTCCTTCCTTCCTTCCTTCCTTCCTTCCTTCCTTCCTTCCTTCCTTCCTTCCTTCCTCTCCCTCCCTCCCTCCCTCCCTTCCTTCCTTCCTTCCTTCACCGTTCCGACCACCCACCCGTCCTTTTTCCGTCTCTCTGCCCTTCACTCCCCCCCCCCTCACCCCCGCTTCTCTCTTTCCCTCCCCCGGCGATGTACAAAATCGAAATTTCCCTGGAGAAAGAATTTCAGGGGGGGGGCGGGGGGGGGGCGGACGGGCTCCCATTCATTCTTCCGTTCTTCTCAAACTGGCGCACTAACCAGGCACAATAATCCAGAATAATGAAAGAGTAGCAGTAACACCGGGAGCTTTTCTGTTGCAAGTGATGGAAGGCAGGGGCTGGGGGGCTGCCTGACAAGCCCACCCCCTCACCCCCAACCCACCCACCCACCCCGCTTGAGCTCCCTCAGCTTCTCCGAAGAAAACCAGCCAAGAAAAACAGCTTCTGTGTTGGGGGCCTTGGCAGGAAGCCCCCCCCCAATGGAACCGTTCCTCTCTCCCCCCCCAAAAAAAGATGAAGTTGGATTCTGGGACCCCCTAGACGCCCACCTGGCCTCTCTCCCCCTGAAAGAAACTATCTCCCGGCAAATAGGCAAGCCCCCAGCGCCATCCTCCCGACGCCAAGGACCCCGCTTCTTAATGGGGAGGGCGCCCCGAGCACCTGGCTTTTTTTTACATCTGCAACGGATTTTAAAATAAAAGGAGGGGTCGAATTAACCCCGCTGCGGGAGGAGGACCCCCTCTCAAAATCAAGGTGCCTGGGATTCTCAAGGCAGTACCTGGCAGGAGAACTCGCCCCCCCCCTCTTATTAGCAGACAAGAGAGCTCTCCAAATTTAGCAGGTCGCTAAACGTCTTATTTACCCCTCCTTTCCGCCTCCCCCCCAGGATCCACACCCCACCCCACACACACTTAAAATTATTCCTGAGTTTCACACTGTCGGGATTATCAGTGGTGTGTTAATGCTGCTGGAATCCAGCGGGGGTTAGATCCATGGCGGGTTTTATTTGGATCTGGACCCCCCCCCCAGAGAGAGAGAGAGAGAGAGAGTGAGTTGGGGGCTTGAAAAGTCCAGCGTTCGGCTTAAACGCTTCTCAACCCGTGGGGCAAATTGGTATTAATTACTTTTTTTTTTCCTTAGCACAAAAGAATATCGATCCGAAAGGGCAGTCGTAGCGTTGAGCTTTCTGTTTCTGCAAGAACACACACACACAAATACCTAATACCCTCTTTCCTCCCCTTTTCCATTTCCTGAGATTCTGTAAATCAAAGAGTCATGCTGCTAGTCCTCAGTAGCGCGTAAAAATGCTAGGTGGAAGGAAGGGAAATAGGTGGTTGGATTTTATTTTATTTTTTTAAAAAAAAAACATTTGTCCCACGATCAACCCCCATTTAACTAATCCTGCTCAAGCATTATAGACCCACCCCAACTTTCTGCTCCCACACAGCCAATATATTCCCCCTGGTGTGTTTTATAATAGGATCAGGTGCCATTCTAGAGGTGTCGAGGTTGGTGAGCAGGACACCCATATATGTGTGTGTGTGTGTGTCTGTTTCAGCCCTGTGGATTGGATCAACTCACTCACAAAGTCCATTAAGCCCAGACTGAATAAAAGGATCGGTCACCAATTGGGTGAATGCATAAAGCAGCCCACCCCGTTGGAATATTCCCTGTTTTATGAAGGCAATCCACGCAGTTAGTTGATAAGTGAATGTTTCCTATACATTGAGAAAATTGACGGAATTCCACAAGCCATGGTTAATTGAATAAGGGCAGAGTAATTATAACTCTAGCAACTCATCCATCCCTTGCACCGCTTTGTTTAAACTCGGATTTGAACCTCGGTTAATTTTTGACACTTAGCAGAGAGCAAAGAAACTCAGTTAATTGAATCCACCAGAGTTAAGTTTACTAACTTGGGCCCACCCCCACCCCCCCTTGAACTCAGCCACTTATCGTTTGGAAACTAGGATTTATGGCGTTCGTAGTCTTCTTCAAGGCAAGTGGGCTCCAACGAACCATGGTTAAGAAACTAAAATTTGAAGGCTTGTTTCATCTCAGCCAATATTGAGAAAAATGATTTGTTTTAATTAATTAATATATATTTTTTAATGGTACAAGCACCCTGGATCTTGTCCACAGCTCTTTTGGAGCACAGTTCCAATCCTCACACCTTTTGGCCATGTCGGCTGGGGCTCATGGGATTTGTAGTCTGGGTCTATTCATAGTAAAGACAGCCCCCCTTTTTCATGATTTTGTGTGTGCTTTCTCTCTCTCTCTCTCTCTCTCTCTCTCTCACACACACACACACACACATACACACAAGTTCAGTTGCCCGATCTTGTGCATTGCTCCTGTGCCTAATCTAAAACAGATCCGGGTTATTTGCTGTATCGTGTCTTTTTAATGTGGGTTTTTTTCCCCCTTCTTCTTCTTCTAAAAAGCAAACAAGAATTTAAACAGCAAGACTGGGTTCCAATAAACCTAACAATCTCACAAAGCTGCTCTTTGTGTCGGGGCGCATAGTGCTGAAGTGTGCCAGACACAGTATAAAGAGGCAAGGCAACCTCCAGCTTGTTGCGATCCACAAATGCAACTCAACAACTCAACCCGTGTAAGGATAGAAAAAACAACTTTGAGAATCCTAGGCTACAGAGCCCTTCGGTCCCAACCAATAATCGATTGGGGGTTTTGCCAGCGAGCCCAGAGTGGGATGCAACCCATCAAGTGGCTGGTCTGAATGTGTGTTGTGATTATTTTATTATTTTTGGTTATTATTTCTCCTACATTGCGTTTTTGTTTTCTGCAAGCTACCTAGAGTCGCCCCCAAGCGAGTAGGCGGCTGTATAATTTTTCCTAAACAAACAAACAAATATTGTGTTGGGAGTAAATATAAGCCCCCCCCCCCAAACAATCAGGAGTTAGGCTTACTTCTGTGTAAACATGCTAGGCTTGGCTATGCTGGAGTGAATTTGGCACTAATGCCTTCCTGGGTCACTTTGAAAACCCGAGAATTTTGCCCAGGGCCAATAATGAAGGCTTCAGCTACTCTAGAATAAAAATTAAACACACACACACAACAGGCAAACAAACAACAATTTCTATGAAAAAAAAACCTGTTACAGGAGCTTTCTTCGGATTATTGTTTCAGTTTTTGCACTGATGGATTAGAAATTTACAGAATTTCATTCCCCCTCCCATCCTCTAGTGACAAACCAGGAGATTTTTTTTTTAAAATTCCTACAAAAGGAAAATGATTTCTCTTTTTTTACAGGGAGTTATATTCCCCCCCCCTTAAAGATGTATTTTCTGATTTCCCCGTGCCAGACACTAATTCAAATAATAACAATTCCTTTTCAAAGAAGGAAATAAAGAAAAGGGATTAGTAAAAATGGACAATTAGGTCAAAGGGGAAAGATCTGCCAAGTAGGAACTGCCAGATATATTTTGAAAAGTGGCCTTTAATGAAAAGACTGGGCGATGTAGTTCTCCTTTATGTCTCCTTTTGACAACACTTTAGGCCCAAGTTTGTTGCAGTTTGGGCTTCGTGGAAGGTGTGAATCAGTTCACTGTGGTTTCAAAAGCCAGCTTTGTGATTTAGAGTGCAGTGGAAAGACAGGCCGTGGTGGTTTATTGACTAAACTACAGTTACAATAGTGGGAACACAGGAGGGTGAGTGTACTGGGTGTCAGTGAAACGTTTCGTTCCATTTTTATATGCATTTTTTAAATCCTTGGATCCTGTCTGTCTGTCTGTCTCTCTCTCTCTCTCCCCCCCCCCTCTCTCCCTAACCCTCTCCAACGCCCTTTCCCCCCCCCCAACTCAAGGGCAGTGAATGAACCCAGATCTGGCTTCAGCCAAAGTCTACTCACCCCACTTTCCAGGATTTGCACTCAAACTCGGACTAAAAAGCCATCAGCTAGGTGTGAGCTGGACTGGTGTGTATCGTGTGAATGCGGCCAGGTGTTGCTTCTCTGTTCAAGCGCCCCTCACGCATCCGGAATGGGCCTCTGAGCTCCCAGGATTAAGTTTGCCTGCCAAAGGATGGAGTGAGTTGAGACGCAGCGGGAAGGAGGGAGGAAGGCGGAGTGGGGGGGGGGGAACCATTAAAGCAGAAAAAAAAAAAAAAACCCCGGGGTCCAATTCACCCTTGTTTATTTCGAAGTCAAGACTTTGTAACCTCAGACCCAACTTTGGGTTTGTAAACAGCAGATGAACAAGCTGTTTCCTTTCTCTCCTTGTTCTAACAACCCCGTGAGGTAGGCCAGCCAGAGCAAGGAAGACTTACCTGTGGTTGTGTGACTGGTCTTGTGACACCACAACCTGCCCACTGAGTTGCCCATATTCCTGCTGCCACTGGGGACTGGGACCAGGCTGCTTTAACCAGGATAGGGTTATACTCCCACCATCCTAAGGCTGGGTGCGATGTTGGCTAAAAATCAGACTTAGGCCTGCATTCCCATAGTGCGTTAAAGCCGGAGGTTTTGCCTGTGGCTTAGCACAAGGGCAGCCACTGCTGTGTTTCTGGCAGAGTGAGGGGTGTTGTGGGGACAGGAAACGCGGGGGGGGGGAGCTTAACCAGCTTGTTGTGAGAACGCAGCTCAACCCTTATCTGGTGGGGAAATGGAGGAGACACGACAAACAATTTTGCCTCGTAGACCGGAATAACGCTGAGCTCTTATTAATGGCCCTGCTGTTACTATTAGCAATGAAAGCTCGGCGTTATTAATAAACAATAAAAGTTTCAGAACCAATTAAAATATATTAATAGTAACCATAGAGGCAGCTTTAGAGGAGAAAGAGAGAGGAGCTGGATTCGGGCGCTAAAGGCCACGTTAAACCCCAATCCGGCTCTTTCTCCCGCTCTCTCCTTTCCAGTAGGCCACCCTAAACTTACAGGGGTGCTACAAGTTTGTGCGTTCCCACGACGCTCGGAACTCCAAGCGAGTCAATCCCGTTTCAGCTTTGCTGGAGAGCGAGAAGGGTCAGGGATCCCTTGCTTGGGGGAACCCAGAAAACGGGACGATAAGCCGGGAGGAAAACCCCCGTGGAAGGGGTCGTGCGAACAGGTTTCGCGTGTTAGCTTTGCAATGGTACTCTCTCTCTCTCTCTCTCTCTCTCTCTCTCTCTCTCTCTCTCTCTCTCTCTCGATTGGAGAGTTCGGGGGTACGCGAGGTTAATTAATTCTGTGTTGTTAGATTTATATCCCGCCTTGGATCTAGGAGTTTAAAGGGGCAGCGCTCCCTTCTTCCCCTAACCCGACGCGGCCTCTCCTGGACCTTCGGGATGGGGCAGGCAGGTGCGCGTGTCGCGACCCCGCACCCCAGAGGTTCTCCTTCAACCGTTCACGCCTCCCCACGCGCGCACTTCGTTTTCCCTCTCGTTCAGTCGCCGACACGGGACTTCTGGGGTCGGGGAAAGGCGCCGTTCTCTCTGGGTTGGCGAATTCCCACGAAGTCAGCTTTCCATCCGGCCTGGGATTCAGAGGACGCGGCTGCCCGTAGAAAGAGACCCTTTCCTGGCTTCACACGAAGGCCTGGAAACGAGGAGCGGGATTCCCCCACAGGCTGGGCCCCGCGCAAGGCAGACCCAGCCTCCCTTTAGCCTGAGCTAGCTAGCGCGTCGTGGGAACCCAACCGCGACACCTTGCTGAGCAGAAACCGCCCAGCTCCCAAGGTCTTACAAGGGTTCTTCCACTTTAAGTGGCGGTCCCAACTGCTTTTACTCGCAAGTAAATCACGCTCGCCCTTCAGGCCGTTTTCTCCAGGTTTACTCGGAAGGAAGCGCCCCCCCCCCCAGTTCCAACGGATTGGGGCTTGGGTTAACAACAAGCGATTCGCCTCCACGGGAATGTGTTCCTAGGAAACAGGTCGGAGGGAAAGGAGACATCCATTAAATAAGAGGCGAAGAGAAATTGCATTCAATGGCCGCGTTCACACGACAGCTGTTTAAACCATTTTTTTAAAAAAAAAGTCACTGAAGCGTAAAGTAACTAAACGCTCACCTGCCCAACCGCGTCTAACGGAAATTAAACCCCGCCAGATTGAGTAAATCGTGTGAACGCCTCTCCTAAGATTGTCCTCGACCTGGGTAAACGCATCCTCCGAATCCGGGCGAAGTCATCGACGCGGCGTCCCGATTCGCCCTTGCCGAGAAATTTGCGCTGGAAGAAAAACCAACTCCCCCCCCCTCCTTTATTCCAATCGCCGAGTTTCTCCGCGGATCGAAAAAAATCGCCTCCCGCGTTCAAGGCATTTTGTTTCTAATCCTTTCTCTCCCCCCCCCTAAATAAATGAATAAATAAATAAAGTTAGGTCTGAAATTCCAATTGACACCTTCTAAGGGGAAACAGCCAGGAGTGGCCTTGCTTGAAAGATGAGCTTTCCCCCCTCCCCTCTGTTCCTTTTTTTTTGGGGGGGGGTGCTAATTCAAAACCGAAAGTCCTAATAGAATAATAAAAGGACAGGTTACCCAACCTCCCCCCCCCGTTAGAGTCTCTAGCTGGTATTCCCCCCCCTTCCAGCTTTCTTCTTTCTAAGGCCGTTTTCCGTGCCCAGTTTTAGGGAAAACGTGTGAAAACGGACTTGGGGGGGGGTGGTGATGCGGAGAGAGAAACCTTGATTTTTTTTTTTTAAAAAAAGAAAAGCCGGCCGTCCAAGCCGAGGGAAATTAAAGCAAGCGACACCCGGCGACCTTCTCTCCCCCCCCCCCCGCGTCTGATTGTAATTAAATCTGTGTAGTTAAGGGTTTGTGACTGAGGGCGCGTTGAAAGCCAAACTTTAAAAGCGCATAGAAAAGAAACGCAAAGAGGAACGTCTGTCTACTACCCCAAGACCTCTCCAGTACTCAAGTGTTTACATATGGAACACCCACACACACACACACACACACACACAATGGGATACACGCACTGGGAATGAATCTAGGCCTACCGATATTTGTGTGCCTCTACACACATGCCCGATGTATACAAAAGCCACCGCAGAAGCGAAAGTTCTTTGCAAAAAAAAAAAAAAGCTCCATTATTTTTATGCTTATTTTTTTATTAGCAAAGATCTCACCTTTTTTTTTTAAACTTCCATCAAACCTCTCTTTTTCTTCTTCCCCTTTTTCCTTTCTACCTGTTTTTCGGGCCTTTATTATTTTTGGAGAGGAAACACCCCTAGCCCTGCCTTCGCTCGCTTTTTTTTTTTTAATTTAAATATCTGGTTTATTTATTGAAAGCGTCTGAGGCTGGTTTTTCTTTTGGGTTCCACACGCCCCCCCTCCTCTTTAATCCCCGCAGAAAGCTTCCGTTCCCGTCAACATCGTTTTCACGCCACTTGAACTCCTCAAAGAACGCCATTAATTAGGTAACAATAATTAATAATAGCCGCCCATCTCTTTTCCTCGGCTGGATTCCGACCTCTCTCTCTATATCTAGGGGTCACCGGTACATTCCTCACAAATTTAGGGACTCTTTCCCCTTTTCTGAATGATCCCTTCGATTTTTTTTATTTTGCAAGGGGTTAGTTTCTCCTTCTGGAAGGCTAGCTCAAAATCCCATTTTTTTTTTCTTCGCTTTCGAAAAAGCAAAGAAAGGATAGGATCGTTTAATCCCGAACGCCGATCTGAAGGCGCCCGCTTTCTACTCAAGCCATTTTTTTTCCTGAACCTGTCAACAAAAGAGGAATGTCAATAAATAATAATAATAATAATAATAATAATAATAATAATAATAATAATAATAATAATAATAATAATAAAGCAGAGGCCAACGTTTGGGGAGAAAGAAAGCGCCGTGCAAAATTAGCTTGAGGGAAAATGGAAGGCAAAACCCGGGCGAAATAAAGTTGGGGTGTCCGTGAAATAAATCCCTTAATATAATAAATAATAAGCCGGAAAGTTTGCCGCGAAAGTAAAACTCCTGAAACACGGAAGGGGGGGGTGAGGGGGGAGAGAAGGAAGTCTCTCCCCTCCCCCTCTCGGATCGCTTTCCCCACCGAGGGGGGACCCCGAAAGACGCGCCCGCGTTTTACAATTCGACAGTATTTCCACACACACACAAAAAAGGTTACCTCTCTTTTCTCCCTCGATCGGGTGGGGTGACGCGTCCCCTTCTCCGCAATTCGTCCTGGAAAAAGGAGCCGGCGGTTCGGGACTCGGGGGGGGGGTGCAACTAAATAAATAAATAAACAAACAAATAAATGCCCCCCTTCCATTCGGTCCGGCGTCCCTCCCCAGAAAAAGCGAAGGAGGAGGAGAAGGAATTAAAAAGGGGAGAAAGGAATTAAAAGGTCTCCCTATCCACCATGCGTTTTATTAAAGAGGGGTGGGGAGGAAAAGCACCCCCCACCCCCCCCCCACCCCGACGCCGTCGCCCTTAGGCCTCGCAGCACTGGGGGGGGTCAGCTGAGATGCGGGGGGGGCAATGGGGCTCGCAAGCTTCCTCTCCCCCCCCCTCTTCAAAGGCACCCAAAGTTGGCACCGGCGCGTTTTTACGCAGCAGCGCGCCTCGCAGCCAAGCGGGCGGCGTCCCCATCCCGGTCCCGATCCTAAAGCGCCTTGACGCCCGTTGCCCCCCTCCCTCCCCACCCGCCCGCCGAGGCAGCCCCCCCTCCCCCCCTTCCTTGAAAGAAAAGAGCAATAACGTTACGACAACAGTACAATCACCACCACAATCAGCAGCGGCAGCAACTACTTCTAAGCAGATCCGGGTCGGTCCCGCCTTTGCCAAGGTCGCGCTCCTTTTTGGAGCCATCCACGCCGGCTTCAGCCGGGCGAGCAGGGCCATTGGAGGGAGGGAGGGAGGGAGAGAGAGAGAGAGAGAGAGAGAGAGAGAGAGAGAGAGAGAGAGAGAGAGAGAGAGAGAGAGAGAGACCTTTACTCGCGAGTAGGTGCGGAGGGGATCGGGCCCAGCGCCGGGAAGGCGAGAGCCAATGGCGAGGATCCCTAATAACGATGGTTTAATTTGCCAAGTGCAGTGCGCAATTATCCAATTTCGAGCCTCGCCTCTCCCCTTTAATTTGCAACCGTTTATCTGAATGAGTACGCCATATCTATCTATCTATCTATCTATCTATCTATCTATCTATCTATCTATCTATCTATCTATCTATCTATCTATCTATCTATCGGTATACATCGATATATATAGATAGATATATAGATGTATGTGTGCAGGCATGCATGCATGCTGGTGTATAATATAATAAAATAACAATAACAATAAACTAAAATAATGTTAAAGTCACCTCTTCCCAGATGTTTGCGCCGCTTCTTGCGAAGTCTGTCCATCCTCGAGCGAGTGGGCAGCGTGGAAAGGGTTAGAGAGGAACGGTGGGGGGGGAGAGGGTTTTCTTAAAGGGGCAGATCCGGGGGGGAAGAAAACGAGGGGGGGGAGATCAGCGACCAGGAGGAAGAGGATAGGACGGGCGAGGGGAGAGGGGGGAAAAAAAACCCCTCTCCCCCCCTCTCTTTCCTTCCCCCCCCCGCCTTTCAACTCTTGAAGAAACAAACCAGCGTTGGTTAGTGCTGGTTGTTTTTGTGTGTGTGTGTGTGTGTTTCCCCCCTTCCTTCTCCTTTCTTTTTCTTTTTTTCTTTCTTTCTGGTTCTCCCCCCCCCTCCCCTCTTCTTCTTCCCCCTTCCCTTTTGGCCCCGGAGCGGGTGTCAGATTGAATGCTCTCTGCGCATGTGCGAAGGTGTCCGAACTGACAATGCTGGGGAGAGGATGATCGCGCGGCGGCAGAGCAGCTGCGGGTTCAAGGAAGGACCCAGCGCGCCGGCAAGATGCGATCCAAGGCGCGGGCTAGGAAACTGCCGAAAAGTAAGGCTCCCTTTAGCCCGCGGGGGCGAGCGGAGGGGGGGGGGAGGAGGAGGAAGAGGAGGAGGAGGAAGAGAAGAGGAACGCGCGCGCCGGGGGTGGGTGAGTCCGGGAGAAAGCCCCGCTGACTCTCCGGGGAGCAGGGCGCGCAGGCCAGGCGGGGGTGGGAGTGGGAGTGGGAGTGGGGGGGGGGTCTGCGTGGTTTCTCTCCCCGCCGCTGCGGGCCACAGCCAAGCCGGGCAGACTTCGCTTCTCGGCCGCCGGGCTGCGCGCATCTGGAGCAGCTCTTTCGTTTTGCTTCGGCACTCCCCGGGGATCGGCGGGGGTCGCCCCTTCTGCGCCGCGCAGGGCTCCCCAGGATGGCGGGGTGTGGGGTGTGTGTGTGTGTGTGTGTGTTCGGAGAGAGACAGAGAGAGAGAGAGAGACAGAGAGAGAGAGAGAGAGAGAGAGAAGCGAAAGTTAAGCAAAAGTTGCAGCTTCGCAACCCCTCCTCCTCCTCCTCCTCCTGCTCCGAGTTCTTTCCAAGTTCTGGTGCGGAGAGTGTGTGTACATTTCTTTTCTTTTTTTTTCTTTCCTATTTTTTTTTGCAAAAGTTTCCCCCCCCCCCCTCTCTTTTAATTCCCGACTCTTTGAATAGTGGGCGCTAGAGATTCGCGGCTGGCAGCGAAAGCGCTGCTGTTGGAAGTTGGCGGGGAGGGGCTGAAATGTAGTTTTATTCTTTTTTTTTCCGGGTTTGGGGTGGGGGGGGAAGCCATGCAGGCCTCTCAAGTCGCGGGGGGGGGCGCAGACTGGAGATATGCAAAGAGCTCCCATTCATTTGGGGTTCATAGGTGGGGAGGGGGCGATCAAACGAACAGAGAACAACTTCTCCTTCTTCTCCTCCTCCTCCTTTCTCCTCCATCTCTTCTTCTTCTTCTTCTCCTCCTCCATCTCTTCTCCTCCCTCTCTTCTTCTTCTTCTTCTTCTTCTTCTTCTTCTTCTTCTTCTTCTTCTTCTTCTTCTTCTTCTTCTTCTTCTTCTTCTTCTTCTTCTTCTTCTTCTTCTTCTTCTATTATTTTTGCGGAGGGGGGGGCGTAGAAAATTGAAATCGCGGAAATCTCTCTTGGAGTGTACCGACATATCTGGGTGGGGGTACATTGGAAGGCGCCGCTGGCGGAGAGGAATGCAAACCTTTATTTTCTTTATTTTACTTTATTTTATTTTTTTTTAAAAAGTGGGCAACGCAGAAGATGGAAGATGTCGGAGTCTTCCACTGTCAAGCGGCGATTTGCACCCCCTCCCCTACCTTTTCCTCACCCCTCGCCCCTCCCGCAAAAAAGGCTTCCTGGGCCAAAAAAACCTGGGACTGTCCTCGGCTCCCGAGAAAGCTGCAACTCTCGCTTCTCGCTCGAACTTTCTGGCGCCCGAGTTCAGGTCGGCTCCAGGCTTGTGGCCGGCGGTGGGTTGGGTGTGAGTTGCGCGCTGGCTTTTATTTTATTTTATTTAAATATATAGCCTGCTTTTGGCTGACTCTCTCCCTCGCTACGGCCGGGAGGAGGCAAAAAAAAAAAACACGAAGGCGCAACGTTTCGGAGCAGAAAAATGCGGTTTGAAAGTTGCTCGGAAATGCAAAGAGGCGCCCGGGTTCCAAAGCGGCGACGGCGGCGGCGGCGGCGCTTGAAAGCCTTAATAAAGGCGGTCGGGGCGCTTCGCTTGGCTTTAAGCCGGACCCCTTCCCGTTGCAGGCCGGCTTTGCGACAGGAAAATTAGACCTTTCGGCCCAGCGGCGGTTTCTGCCCCCCCCCCACTTCTCTCTCTCTCCCCCCCCCCCGTCCCCGACTTCTACGGCCTCTAACTTCGCCTTTTGCAAGGACGGGGCCGTTCCCCGCAAAAAACGCTTCGTTTTTAAATTGTTTTTCTTGGCTGGCTGGAGGTGGGGCGGAAGGCGGGGGGGGGGTTTGATCATTCTGCCAAGGTTTCGTTTAATTGCAGCCCCCTCCCCCTTAAGATAGGAAAGGGGCGAGTTTTCTGGTCGCCAGCGTTGGTCTCTTGTTGTTGTTGTTGTTTGTGGTGGTGGTGGTGGTTTGTTAAGGCTTCCCGCGCCGTGAAGTCGGCCTTTTCTCCGGTACTTGTTCTCAAGGTCAAGATCATGGCAAGCGGCAGCCGGTTTGCTCCGTCCTCCCAGGCCGAGGCTTCCCCGCTTGCTGTGCGCGGTTCTCCTCCTCTCCTCCTCCCCCCCCCCCCGTCCCTCGGTGGAAGGAGTGAAGCGGCGGCTTTGCAGATCTGACTTAATCGGCGGGAGAGAAGGCGAGTTGGTTTGTTTCTGCAGCAACGTCCGAAGTTTAAAAGGTTGGCAGCGTCCCTTTCGCTGTTCCGTTAAGAAAGGGGCAAAACTTGGCACGGGTTCTTTCTTTTCCTCCCTCCCTGCTCTAAATCCCTTCCTTCCTTCCTTCTCGTTCTCTTTCTCCCTTTCTCCTCTTTCTCTCCCCTTCTCTTTTTTCTTTTATCCTTCCTTCCTTCCTTCCTTCTTGTTCTTTCTCCCTTTCTCTTTCTCCCTTTTTTCCTTCCTTCCTTCCTTCTCGTACTCTTTCTCCCTTTCTCCTCTTTCTCTCCCTTTCTTTTCCTTCCTTCCTTCCTTCTCGTTCTTTCTCCCTTTCTCCTCTTTCTCTCCCTTTCTTTCTTTCTTTCTTTCCTTTTTCTTTTTTCCTTCCTTCCTTCTCCGTTCTCTTTCTCCCTTTCTCCTCTTCCTCTCCCTTTTTTCCTTCCTTCCTTCCTTCTCGTTTTTTCTCCCTTTCTCCTCTTTCTCTCCCTTTCTTTCCTTTTTCTTTTTTCCTTCCTTCCTTCTCCGTTCTCTTTCTCCCTTTCTCTTTCTCTCCCTTTCTTTTCCTTCCTTCCTTCTCGTTCTTTCTCCCTTTCTCCTCTTTCTCTCTCTTTCTTTCCTTTTTCTTTTTTCCTCCCTTCCTTCCTTCTCTGTTCTCTTTCTCCCTTTCTCCTCTTTCTCTCCCTTTTTTCCTTCCTTCTCGTTCTCCTCTTTCTCTCTCCTTCTCTCCGTTTCTTCCCTTTCCTTCTTTCCTTCCTTCCTTGTCCCCGGCAGTTTCCACAGGCAAAGAAAAAAAAAAAGCTCACCGTTTTGGCCTCTTCCTCTCCAGCTGCCACTGCTGGGCACTCCAAGGAGAAAAGGTCTCTCTGACCCCACGGCGCGTGGCTTGTACAAGGCTGAGATAAATAACCTCTCGAATAATAACTATTTTCACGACAGCGGCTCTGGCGACCTTGCTGTTCCATCTGTTTTTCAGCCATGGCTTGCCCCGAATCTTTCTTCCGGGGAGGCATTTAAACACCAGCACAAAACTTCTCTCGTTCTGAAAATAGTGGTTTATTAAGGGTTTTTAGGCAGGTGCCCCATCACCTTAACACCTTTCCTCTAGCAGCGATTTGCCCGGGCAGAAAAAGAAAACGTGTTGCATCTAATGGCGCCTGGTTAGAATTTGTCAATTTCAGAGGGGGGGGGGAAATCTGTAGTGAAATTAGCCCCAAATCAGGCGGGCGTTTACAAGCGTGGCATCTTTGCTTTCCTTCCTTCTCATTCCCCAATTTTAGAGGCCTATTGGGGGGGGGGGGGGAAACAAACCCTGTTTGTTACATATATTGTGTGCGTGTGTGTCTAACATGTAACACACAACTTTTTTTTTTTTTCTTAAAAGGGTAGTAGGAGAGTAAAGGTCTGGAAGTCAGATGGGAGGGGGCCGCGGGCTCTTTCTCTCTCCCTCCCCCCTCGCCGTTTCCCCGCTTGATTCAACCTGGAAGCGTCTTGGGTTTGATAGGGACCCCAGACTCAATCTTTCAGAAGGCCTGGAAACAATAAAAAAAGAAAGGAAGGAAGGAAAACCCAGCGAGCAGGGGCGCTGCCGAGATGGAAAGAGGTCTTTTGAAGCCGACAATCCTTTGAAGGATTAAAAACAAAACAACAACAACACGGTAGTCCAGGTTTCCGGATCCCAAGGACCTCCTCCACGCGGGGGAAGGGTGGGGGGTGAGGAAGAAGGGAGAAACGGAGGAATGGACCCTCCGGTGGGCGAATCGGCGGCTAAGGTGGACTCCCAAAACTGGGCCCAAAGTAGCTCGCCTTCGCTCGGGTGTCCTTAAATGCCTGGTGTGGGTGTCTAGTTTCGGATTCCCTCCCCAGGCCAGAGGGATCCCCAAATTTGGTTTGACCATATATATATATATATATTTAAATTTAAAAAAAAAACACAAACGCACCTTGGCTCGTCCGTACTGGCTTGTAATTCCATTTCTATTTCTATTATTATTATTGTTATTATTATTAATTATTATTATTATTAATTATTATTATTATTATATTTTTACACGGGGGGGTCTTACCTACTTAGCAGCGGAGCAAAGCGGCCTTATATTTTCGAAATTTAAAAACGGGGTAAAGCGGAAGGGGGCACAGTTTAGATCCCCTCCCCCCGCCCCTTGCTGGATGCAGATACGACGGTTTTATTAATATTATTAACACCTTCCTGGGTCATCTTGCCTCCCCGGGAAAGAGGGAAGGCCGGTTCCAAACGCCATTTCAAAGTGGCGTGTTTTTCTTTTTTTAAAGCAGTTCGCGACCCCCCCCCCAATCCACTTAAGAGAGGCTTTCTTCCTCTAATTACAAAAGAAAAAAGAAAAGAAAAAAAAAGAGAATAAAGAGAGAGAGAGGGAAGGACGGGACTTCTCGAGTGGAGAGAAAAGAGCCGGCCGCTTGGCAAGGCAACAGCCGCGGAGGTGAAGGTGGTTTAAGCGGGACCGCTTTCCTGGTCGGAGCGTCTGGCCTTTTCCTCCAGGGCGGCCGTTTGGCGTTGACCCCCCCCCCCGACCTGGAGAAAAATAAGTGTGGGTTTTTGTTTTTTTTTGAGGAAATTTGGAGTGCCCAAGATCTAATCTGAGCGCAACCGCCGCGTTTTTCTCTCCTCCTCCTGTTAATTCCTGAACTACGAAGGTGGTCGTAGCAATGCTGTGTAATTTATTTTCACTTTCCTCCGCTGAAAGGTTTTGGGGAGACTCCCCCAAAGTTGCGACTGATTTGGTGACCTTTACGCTGACTTTATGAGTGTGCCTACCGGGCTCCCTTCCTTCCTTCCTTCCTTCCTTCCTTCCTTCCTTCCTTCCTTCCTTCCTTCCTTCCTTCCTTCCTTCCCTAACCCATTCTTCCTTCCTTCCCTCCCTTCTCTCTTCCCTAAACCTTCCTCCTTCCTTCCTTCCTTCCTTCCTTCCTTCCTTCCTTCCTTCCTTCCTTCCTTCCCTAACCCATTCTTCCTTCCCTTCCTTCTCTCTTCCCTAAACTTTCCTTCCTCCCTCCCTCCTTCCTTCCTTCCTTCCCTTTTCCCTTCCTTCCTTCCTTCCTTCCTTCCTTCCTTCCTTCCTTCCTTCCGTCCCTCCCTCCAGCTGGCCAGCTGGAAAAGAAAGAATAAAGAAGAAAAGTGTGCGCGGGCGTGGACTTTATACACATTTTCTGGATACTTGACTTAAGAGTTGCAGAGACATATAGCGAGAGAGAGAGAGAGAGAGAGAGAGAGAGAGAGGGAGGGAGGGAGGGAGGGAGAGAGAAAAAGAGAGAGAGAGAGAGAGAGAGAGAGAGAGAGAGAGAGAGAGAGAGAGAGAGAGAGAGAGAGAGAGAGAGAGAGAGAGACCCGCTCTGGGTCTGCCTAGATCCAGTGTGCAGAGAGGGCGCTCGTTCTTTCCACCGTAGTTCTGAATCGACCTCGTTCTGCTTTTGACAAGCCCTCCCCCCGCCCCGCTCTGCGTGAGCTCGGCTCCAATGGACGCCGTGAACGGGTACGGATCTCCCAGTGGTCTCCCGTCTATCTCCCAACCATGCCAGCGCCGGCTCTTACGTAAGCCCCAGGGCGACCTGGTCTGGGAAAAGAGAGAAGGAAGACACCACTTCTGCGCCGGAGGGGGGGGCGGGGATGGGTCCGTGCACCCCCCCCCCCAGAAAGGGAGGCGGGAAGGAGAATTCTCACGCCTGGTTGGGCGCTCGGTGGGGAGGTGTTTCCCGCCGGCACGTGGGAAGGGGGCACCTGAGCCTCCTTGTGACATGCTGGATCTTCCTTCCCCCGTCCCTAGTTTTTAGCTAGCTTTGTGTGTGTGTGTGTGTGTCCAGGGGGGGAGCCTGTTTTCTCTGCTACCGGTACTAGGAGGCATGAGCTGTTCTGCCCCCCACTTGGCCAGTTCAAGTCTCCAGTCCTCATTGAGGATGTTGACTCAACCTGAGCAGAGGGAGGCAGTTTTCTGAAACTAAAGTAGCCATGGCTTAGTTTGTCCCACCCGGTCTTGAGGGGACAAGGATAGAAAGAGGGGGCTTTTCTGAGTGAGTTGAAGAGCTGCCTGCGTCAACAGGTTGCCCCCTCCCCTCCGAAGACCCACGGAGGCCAGATTCCCCCCCAGCCTCTTATTTCTGAGACAGGCCACCTTTAAAGACACCAAGGAGCCTTTTTAAAGAGCTGGATTTAAAGATTTCCTCCAGGGCTACTGCCTTTTGGAGACACCCCCAAACACGAGCCTGACATTAGGAATGGCTTCCCCCAGTATAGCAAGCCACAGACCAAGCAAAGTTTACCCTTAAAAGTCCAGCTTTGCTTGTCAGGGGAATGTAGGTTTCTGAATAGCCTGGATGCATCTGGCGGGTGGACAGAGCTGGTCTGTGGCCTGGCGTTCGGTTCCAGAGCAGGCCTAAAAATGGGTCAAAACAGCAGACTGTTTGGCTTGAAGAATAATAATAATAATGATGATGATGATGGAAGGGACCTTGGAGGTCATCCAGTCCAACCCCCTGCTCAGGCAGGAAACCCTATCCCATTTCAGACAAATGGCTGTCCAGTCTCTTCTTAAAAACCTCCAGTGTTGGAGCATCCACAGCCTCTGGTGGCCAGCCGTTCCACTGAGTAATTATTCCCGCTGTCAGAAAATTTCTCCTTAGTTCTAGGTTGCTTCTCTCCTTGGTTAGTGTGTGTACAATAATAGGGCACACAGACAGTCCTTGACTTACAACCGCGACTGAGCTCCAAAATGTCCATTGCCAAGCAAGATAGTTATTGATTTTTGCCCCGTTTGGGCGGACCTTTCTTTTCAGAATCACTGCAGTTATTTAGTCACACGGCTAAATAACGAGTCAGGCTTGACCCCTTGACTTTGCTGGCGGGAAAGTCGCAAAAGAGGGAAAATCACGTGACCCACTGCTGCAAAACCATCATAAATACACGCCAGTTGCCGAGCGTCTGAATTTTGATCACGTGACCGTGGGCAGGGGGAGCCTGCAACAGTTGTAAAAAAACCCAAAATGGATTATTGTATAATCTACTTTTTTTTTTTCTTGGCTCTCCAAGGCAATTCTCAAGAGTCTTCTTCAACACGCCAGCTCAAAAGTGTCCACACTCTTTTTCCTTGAGAACACAACTTCCACCTTCACAGGGTTGTCACCGGGACAACCGCGGCTTGCATTGAGTCTGTTTTTTTTTTTTTTTTTTGTAGCCGTAGAGGTATCCCAGATATATCTCTACTAAGGGTGTATTTCTGAAGTGCCGATTCTTTTCCTGTCGATAGTCGATTCTAAAAGGCAGATATTATTTTATTGCCTGACACCGTCATTTCTATGTGCTGCGATGCGTGCGTCTGTTATTTTGCACCTTTCCTGGCTATTTCCTTATATTTCTTCCCATATTTTTTCCCCCCTTTTTCGCTTTCTTAAAAAGATGTCTCCTTGAGATCCTACTGTCTGTCTAGTGGTCTTCAGGGGTTTGCTGGCCTATTAAGGAAATGGCTTGGATATTATTTATCCCTTGGACTTCCTGAGTGGCTAGCTTTCAGCTTGCAAGGGACCAGGACCAATTCCTGATGTGGATCCCTAGAAATAATATTTATAACCGGGAAATATCGGTGTAATAGACACTTGGTTTCTGCCCGAGGATCCAGACCGTTTAGGCCAGTGGTTCTCAACCTTTCTAATGCCGTGACCCCATAATACAGTTCCCCATGTTGTGGTGACCCCCAACCACTTATACATCACCGCGTGCCAGGGGCGTGGCCAAAGAAAAGGGGAAAAAATGGTGGACAGCCTTGTTTGGTGACCCCCGTGAAATGGTCGTTCGACCCCAAATGGGGTCCCGACCCACAGGTTGAGAGCCTGGTTTAGGCTAAGTCATTCAATTGTTTCTAAGTTTCCTGTGTGTCCATATATATATATGGACTCTTCCCTTATTTTCCTTTCAAAAGATCTTTTAGTTTACCACGTTCTTTTAGTAATCACTGGGAGGTGGGTGGAAGGATAGCGAGGGGTGGAGAGAACACCTGACTGTACTGAACAATGCTATCCTTTGCCCTCCTCATGCCTCTTTCCTTCTGCGTGGTGTCTTTTTTTTTTTGACCGCAAACTCCAACGAGCGAAGAGTTGTCTACATTACTGTCCTGTGAAATCCACGAGCTGGTGAATGGTGGCAGAGGGGCAAACAATGGTGTGTGTGTGAGGGGGGGGGCAGAAGTCTGAAATGCTTTGAATTATGAAATCATAATTGCTCTGTATGAAGCGTTCCGATGAGAGTCCAGCCAACGGCCCCAGGCTCTGCTCAGAGGAAGCCAAAGGGCAGGATTTGAATTGTTCCCCAGGTTATAAAGTCTTTGGGGCATGGATTTCCAAAGGTTTTTTTTTTCTCCCCCCTCCTCTTTCCTTTTTCTGAAAATGCCAATGAGGTCACCTTACTTAAGGCATAAAGAACCCTTTGTCCCCATGGGCTTCAGCGTTCCTCATCTCTCTTTTCTCTTCCTTTCTCTCTCTCCCTCTCTCTCTCTCTCTTTTTTTCCAGGCCTTTCTCTCTATATAGAAGGAGGCCTCAGAAAATCTCTTTTTCTCCTTGGGTGAGGAACACCCCGAAATCGTCTGTCTCCTGCTGATCGGTTGCCTAGATTTTGGCAGCTTGATCAGCAATGGG